CTGCTGCCTCTGTATTTGACTGTAGAAACCTCCTGTGCAGACGAACCGTTTGATCAATCAAGATACCCAGCTGTTGCACATATGTCTTAATGATCAACATATCAGTATTTTAAACGATTTTCCACAATAATTCAACCTTCTGGCTACAATCAATATTTACTTCTCTCTCAACATTATTTACAAAGCTTTCCAAACACGTGGAAAAGTTAAATTCAGCTTTTCTTTCAAGGTCACTTTTCTGATGAAGCCACCGTGTGGCGAAACGTTTCTCAATAAAGATACCCAAGATTTGCACATGTTCATTTATTCACATTGTCTTTTTAACCATTCATCTACAAACCTGTCAGACACTGCAACTTCTTGGGATCTTAATACTTGGGAATTCTTCGCTTGCCTAATTCTTGGGCACGACCTACTTCAACATTGAACAAATTTACACCATAGACTGCTGAAACCTACTGCCAACGTTTATAAGCTGCTTCTCCGCACGTATGTTCTATTCAATAGTTACTGACCACATCGACTCAATGTTTGAGGGACTGATTACCTCATTTCTCCAACTTTCTTCAAGATTCTCCTTTGAATGGCTGATGAGCCAATTGTGCGAAATGTTTATCCTCATAAAGATACCCAAGAGTTGCACTTGGGTATCTTTATTTATCAACATGTCGGTTCTCTGAACCATTCATCTACAAAGCGTCATTAATGTGTGGCAAGTGCCCTTACTGATGGCACATTAAGCAATAATTAAGGAGTCAAAGTCAGTGCCATAAGTTAATTTTAGTGCCATTAAGATGACAAACAATTGAATTTGCAGTGTAGACTGGATTGCATCAACTCCAGTTTGAGGGACTGATTACCTCAGTCTCCTTCTCATCTTCGCTATTCTTCTTTGTATTGGACTGATAAAGACACTATGTGGCGAAACGTTTCCACAGCAAAGATACCCAAATGTTGCACATGTGTCTAATTTGTCTACAGCCCAGTTTAATTCTTATCCTAAACTCAACATGGCTGCAACAAACTATTAACTAGAAGGTAGCAACAAGAGTTAGGCCGCCGAATACACTCTGCTAGCAACAAGAGTAGGTGCCGCCCTGCCAGTACACTCTCGCTTACAACAAGAGTAGGTGCCGCCCTGCCAGTACACTCTCGCTTACAACAAGAGTAGGTGCCGCCCTGCCAGTACACTCTCGCTTACAACAAGAGTAGGTGCCACCCTGCCAGTACACTCTCGCTTACAACAAGAGTAGGTTGCCAGCCCTGCCAGTACACTCTCGCTTACAACAAGAGTAGGTGCCGCCCTGCCAGTACACTCTCGCTTACAACAAGAGTAGGTGCCACCCTGCCAGTACACTCTCGCTTACAACAAGAGTAGGTGCCGCCCTGCCAGTACACTCTCGCTTACAACAAGAGTAGGTGCCGCCCTGCCAGTACACTCTCGCTTACATCCAGAAGTGTATATAACATGTGAAATATTATTACTAACAATTAAGCGAGAAATTTCTTCCTGAGCAGTTGCTTTTACAAGAGATTTAAGGAAGGAATTACAAGTGCTGAGGGTCTCGGGAAGGGCTCGGAGATATACTTCACCAGGAATGAATACAACTTCTATTGAATAAAGAAATGAAATTTCCACTATCTGTTTACATTTGTGTTTGTTTACTCCTAACTCTGAACAAGATTGATGGTGACAGTATCTGGTTTATTTCTTAAAGTTTTAATACCAACTACAGTGTTAATCTCAATCCTCCTCCCAGTGATCTCATTGATACCAAACTCATTCCTCACAGCGGAGGATAATTCTGAGCGCTTCAAGCTGCATTAGCTCCAAGGGTCGGAGAGAATTTACCTTAGCTAACATTAACATAGGCGTAACGTAATCAGTTAAGGATATAATACAGATTGTGTACATCATGCTGAGTATTCTCATGCTAGTTCTGTAATTACGACTGTAGTCAGTAAGAGTTCTGAGAGCGTTTAATCTATCGTTGTAATTCTTGTTTACATGTAGCTGTGTAATGATGGATTTAGTGAAGGGTGCGTTTGTACCAGATAAATGAGCGGGGCGTGTTGCTTATTTATTAATATCTGTGTTTAAGATGACGTTTTGATGAGTTCTAGAGGATTGCATATCTGAACCTCATTACGAATGTTATGTATGATAATTTATGTAACTGTATTTATGTATACCTGTACCAAAATAACCTTAATTACTTACTGAGGTAGATAGAGAATGAACAACACCAGTAGCAGCAGCAGCAAGAGAAGCAGTAATAGAAAGAGCAAGTAGAGCGCGTATGGAAGTGTAAGAGAACCCAATCTCTGTCTCCCTCTCTCTCTCTCTCTCTCTCTCTCTCTCTCTCTCTCTCTCTCTCTCTCTCTCTCTCTCTCTCTCTCTCTCTCTCTCTCTCTCTCTCTCTCTCTCTCTCTCTCTCTCTCCCACACACAAACGCGCGTGGTCCCGAGCGTTCACGGCAGACAGTCTTCAGCAGGAGCCGCGCGTGTCACCTTCCCCCCACTCGTGCCTTCCTTATCTACCACGGAGCGACACTCGCTCTCACTCCAACCAACCCCAACGTGTCGCACCCTTCCTGCCGTACCAAGGAACCGACACCCAATCTGACGTAACGCATCTGCCGCACTAGGGCAACGACACTCAAGCTGTCGCAACCTTCAAGAAAACAATATCCGAGAAGTGTCGAGTCCTTACCATACGACCTAAGACGACGACTAAGGGATCGACCAAAGGACGATAGCGTCAAGGGGTCAACATAGATACACACAGTGACCTCTTATAGTGTCATGGCTCATCTCTAGGTGTGACCTCGCATGAACTCTGATAGCGGCGGCAACTTGGCGTGCCACTGGGAAACGGGGCGAAGAGAAATGAATCTTAACTGACTGGCAAACATAAGTTTGGACACGCTTGTGCAGTGTTTGCTGACTTGGAAAAAAAAGTGGAAAAACTTGAAAAATTAGGAAAAAAGTCGCAATACCGAGAACAATTCACGACAAATCACAACTCAGAGAGAAACTTTAGATAACATTTCGATCTATTTTTAACCGCTGTCAAGTCGCGAAAATTTCTGATAATGGTGTGTGCCACGGAGGTCATGGGTAGGAAATGGGGATCTCCTTTCCCTCTCATTATTCCTTAGCGATGAATGGGTGAATCAACCCCCAACCAAAACCTCTCCCTTCTCCTCTTCCTAATCTACCTCCTCCACTTACAACGAGTAATTCCTCCACAACCCTCTGGCCACCACCTCATCCTCTTCATCCTCCACGACCATCAAAGAAAGGTACTTCACACAGCTTTGGTAACTCCTACCAGTGACAACAAACTTCCCCAACAAGACTGGCGAACACGAAGTTATTCTCCAGTACTAAGTCAGAAGGATACTCTCCAGTCTTAATTTGCGAGGCTCCAGTTAGTGCTCATCCAAGCAGTTACACTCCAGTCTTCTGGAAATGAATAACAAGGTTGAGGGAAGCCGGTAAAAAAAGGAAGTAAGATCATCGAAACTGGGCAGCTTAATAGTATTTTACCTTTCCATGTGTGTAAAAAGAAAAACATCGTGAAACGCTGTCGCATGAAAGAGTTTTCTGTCAGCATCTAGTTTTCTGTTTCGAGAGTGTCAGAAGGCGAATTTGTTTGAGTGAAAAGAACTTCCCGATAAAGGTGTGGAGAATTGCAGTTATAGAAATGTGACCCACTTCAACTGAGACTGCTAGAAAGGTGCCGAGAAAACTTTGTATCCCCTGAGGTGTGTTCTGTGGGGTGTGTCCCGTGGAGTGTGTCCCCTGGGGTAGTGTGACTTTGCGAGAGTGTGGCAAGTGGAGGTGTATATGAAGGCGTCTCACACCCAGAGGGGGCTGCTTCACAGCTCTTAGTCCCCTCCCTGGAAAGGGGGGGCTGGCTGTCAAGAGAGCGGGCTGACTCTGTGAAGGAGGCCGTGGCTAAGGGCCAACCAAAGCCATAACACGCACACAAAGACATACACACACACAAACACACACATACAAACACAAACGCCAGAACCAGTGTCTTGTGCTACTCTCCTACTCTAACTGCTACTACTGTTCCTCCTACTGTTCCAGCAACTGCTGCTATTGTTCCTGCTACTGTTCAAGCCACTGCTGCTATTGTTCCAGTCACTACTACTACCGTTCCAGCCACTGCTGCTACTGTTCCAGCCACTGCTGCAACTGTTCCAGTCACTACTACTGCTGTTCCAGCCACTGGTGCTACTGTTCCAGTCACTACTACTACTGTTCTAGCCACTGCTGCTACTGTTCCAGCCACTGCTGCTAGTGTTCCAGTCACTACTACTACTGTACCAGCCACTGCTACTACTATCCCAACCACTGCTGCTACTGTTCCAGTCACTACTACTACTGTTCCAGCCACTGCTGCTACTGTTCCAGCCACTACTACTACTGTTCCAGTCACTGCTACTACTGTTTCAGCTACTGCTGCTACTGTTCCAGCCACTACTACTACTGTTTCAGCCACTGCTGCCTCTGTTCCAGCCACTACTACTACTGTTTCAGCCACTGCTGCTACTGTTCCAGCCACTACTACTACTGTTTCAGCCACTGCTGCTACTGTTCCAACCACTACTACTACTATTTCAGCCACTGCTGCTACTGTTCCAGCCACTACTACTACTGTACCAGGCACTGCTGCTACTGTTCCAGCCTCCGCTAGTACAATCATGCTCCCCTCCCTGCTCCCAGTGCTACTTTCACAGCTACTGTTCCCTGCTCCCCAGAAATTCGTCTGCTCAGGTAAGCACTATACCAGAGTATTTTGAAAGGCTGTCAAACGTAAGTTCTTATTAATCTTCCCGATGGTAATATTTACACTCCCGCCATTTCTCATTTTATGCAGAAGTGAAAAGAAATGTTAGGATTAGGTTTAATCTGTTAGATAAAAGGACACAAATGGGACTAATTTCCTTAGAGCTCATCGAAGGTTCCATCCAAATTATATATATATATATATATATATATATATATATATATATATATATATATATATATATATATATATATATTATATATATATATATATATATATATATATATGAGAGGAAGGGTTGTTGAGGTGGTTCGGACATGTAGAGAGAATGGAGCGAAACAGAATGACTTCAAGAGTGTAATCAGTCTGTAGTGGAAGGAAGGCGGGGTAGGGGTCGGCCTAGGAAGGGTTGGAGGGAGGGGGTAAAGGAGGTTTTGTGTGCGAGGGGCTTGGACTTCCAGGAGGCATGCGTGAGCGTGTTTGATAGGAGTGAATGGAGACAAATGGTTTTTAATACTTGACGTGCTGTTGGAGTGTGAGCAAAGTAAACATTTATGAAGGGATTCAGGGAAACCGGCAGGCCGGACTTGAGTCCTGGAGATGGGAAGTACAGTGCCTGCACTCTGAAGGAGGGGTGTTAATGTTGCAGTTTAAAAACTGTAGTGTAAAGCACCCTTCTGGCAAGACAGTGATGGAGTGAATGATGGTGAAAGTTTTTCTTTTTCGGGCCACCCTGCCTTGGTGGGAATCGGCCGGTGTGATAATAAAAAAAAAAATAATATATATATTCTGGGGAATGCACATTACCAACACTGAATTATCTCACGAAGATATTTTGCTATAAGAAAATCTTTGAGTAAGGTTCCTAAGTTCCTACCAAGATGTTAGGACACGCTCACCTCTGTTTTAAAAACTGCAAAGCTGAGATAAGTACGAGACAGGTGTCAAGGATCGCGTATTAAACGTAAGACGCAGTAACGCAGTCAACAGGTAACCTGTTGTAACCAACAGTAGTAATAACGTTCACGAAGGCAACTGGGTTTTTCTCTTGCAGGTAATGTCTGGATAACGTATAAACAGTAGTAACAGGATAAAGTATAAACAGTAGTAACAGGATAAAGTATAAACAGTAGTAACAGGATAAAGTATAAACAATAGTAACAGGATAAAGTATAAACAGTAGTAACAGGATAAAGTATAAACAGTAGTAACAGGATAAAGTAAAAAACAGTAGTAACAGGATAAAGTATAAACAGTAGTAACAGGATGAAGTATAAACAGCAGTAACAGGATAAAGTATAAACAGTAGTAACAGGATAAAGTATAAACAGCAGTAACAGGATAAAGTATAAACAGTAGTAACAGGATAAAGTATAAACAGTAGTAACAGGATGAAGTATAAACAGCAGTAACAGGATAAAGTATAAACAGCAGTAACAGGATAAATTATAAACAGTAGTAACAGGATAAAGTATAAACAACAGTAACAGGATAAAGTATAAACAGTAGTAACAGGATGAAGTATAAACAGTAGTAACAGGATAAAGTATAAACAGTAGTAACAGGATAAAGTATAAACAGTAGTAACAGGATAAAGTATAAACAGTAGTAACAGGATAAAGTATAAACAGTAGTAACAGGATAAAGTATAAACAGTAGTAACAGGATAAAGTATAAACAGTAATAACAGGATAAAGTATAAACAGTAGTAACAGGATAAAGTATAAACAGTAGTAACAGGATAAAGTATAAACAGTAGTAACAGGATAAAGTATAAACAGGGGAAATTATCAACATGAACAGAAAAAAGTATAAACAGCAGAAACAGGAAAAAGTTTGAATAAACATGTGTCACCACACGAGAGAAACGTTTCTTCAGTAAAGCTGAGGTAATCAGTCCCTCAGCCTTGCCTGAGGGACTGATTACCTCAGCTTTTCTACATAGTTCTACTGTCTTCACATTATGTCTTTGAATTTGTATTGATAGAGCCACTGGATGGCGAAACGTCTACAATAAAGATACCCAGATGTTGCGCATGTGTCAAATTCTCAGTGGTCTTGTTGGGGCATGGAGAGGATTTTATATGTTCTCAGTGGTCTTGTTGGGGCATGGAGAGGATTTTTTATGCTCTCAGTGGTCTTGTTGGGGCATGGAGAGGATTTTTTATGTCCTCAGTGGTCTTGTTGGGGCATGGAGAGGATTTTATATGCTCTCAGTGGTCTTGTTGGGGCATGGAGAGGATTTTATATGCTCTCAGTGGTCTTGTTGGGGCATGGAGAGGATTTTATATGCTCTCAGTGGTCTTGTTGGGGCATGGAGAGGATTTTATTTTTCTCAGTGGTCTTGTTGGGGCATGGAGAGGATTTTATTTTTCTCAGTGGTCTTGTTGGGGCATGGAGAGGATTTTATTTTTCTCAGTGGTCTTGTTAGGGCATGGAGAGGATTTTATAAGTCCTTGACTGAAATGTGACGAAAATTGTAATGCGCAAAAATGTTGCAGCAAAATGGGAGGTGCAAATTCAATAAGAGCTCTCAAAAAGAAATGGAATCAAGACTTCTTGGTCTATCTTTCTGACGAGATGAGAGAACAAACGTATCAGATCGCTTTTATTGCCGAGTCTACGGAAAATGTTAAATTTCTTTGAATCAAATTCGTTGTTTTCATCTCACACTTCTTTCCAACACCCCAGCGTCCATTTTTTTATAAGTCCATACATAAATAAGTTAAGGCAGTGATGGTGATATCACACATCCCTGTCCAAGGCCTCCGCTTATTGGAAAATAATCTCTGTACCTGGTCACTTTCAAAGAAAAAAAAAGACGTCTAGAAAGCGAAGTTGTTGTTGGGGTTTATAGGGCCACTGACAGCGTACGCCGTATCGAACCTAGCCATCCAGCGCCCGGAAAAGGAACCTCGAAATGTGTTGTCTCTTCCCTTCTTTAGAGAGGACAGTGAATTGAACGGAAAGTTCGGCAGAGTTAAGACAATTACTGTCATAGTTAACAAGTCAACACTGAGGGATAAACTTGTTGTTGCACACTGTGTTTCATAGCGTTGTTGCATACTGTTTACAAGCGTTGTTGCACACTGTATTTACAAGTGTTGTTGCACACTGTGTTTACCAGTGCTGTTGCACACTGTTTAACAGCGTTGTTGCACACTGTGTTTACCATTGTTGTTGCACACTGTGTTTACCATTGTTGTTGCACACTGTGTTTACCATTGTTGTTGCACACTGTGTTTACCATTGTTGTTGCACACTGTGTTTACCATTGTTGTTGCACACTGTGTTTACCAGTGCTGTTGCATAGTGTTTACCAGCGTTGTTGCACACTGTGTTTACCAGCGTTGTTGCACACTGTGTTTACCAGTGTTGTTGCATACTGTGTTTACCAGTGTTGTTGCACACTGTGTTTACCAGCGTTGTTGCACACTGTGTTTACCAGCGTTGTTGCACACTGTGTTTACCAGTGTTGTTGCACACTGTGTTTACCAGTGTTGTTGCACACTGTGTTTACCAGTGTTGTTGCACACTGTGTTTACCAGTGTTGTTGCACACTGTGTTTACCAGCGTTGTTGCATACTGTGTTTACCAGTTTGTTGCATACTGTGTTTTACCAGTGTTGTTGCATACTGTGTTTACCAGTGTTGTTGCATACTGTGTTTACCAGCGTTGTTGCATACTGTGTTTACCAGTGTTGTTGCATACTGTGTTTATCAGTGTTGTTGCATACTGTGTTTACCAGTGTTGTTGCATACTGTGTTTACCAGTGTTGTTGCACACTGTGTTTACCAGTGTTGTTGCATACTGTGTTTACCAGTGTTGTTGCATACTGTGTTTACCAGTGTTGTTGCATACTGTGTTTACCAGTGTTGTTGCATAGTGTTTACCAGTGTTGTTGCACACTGTGTTTACCAGTGTTGTTGCACACTGTGTTTACCAGTGTTGTTGCATACTGTGTTTATCAGTGTTGTTGCATACTGTGTTTACCAGTGTTGTTGCACACTGTGTTTACCAGTGTTGTTGCATAGTGTTTACCAGTGTTGTTGCATACGGTGTTTACCAGCGTTGTTGCATAGTGTTTACCAGTGTTGTTGCATACTGTGTTTACCAGTGTTGTTGCATACTGTGTTTACCAGCGTTGTTGCACACTGTGTTTACCAGTGTTGTTGCACACTGTGTTTACCAGTGTTGGTGCACACTGTGTTTACCAGTGTTGTTGCATACTGTGTTTACCAGTGTTGTTGCACACTGTGTTTACCAGTGTTGTTGCATAGTGTTTACCAGTGTTGTTGCATACTGTGTTTACCAGTGTTGTTGCATACTGTGTTTACCAGTGTTGTTGCATACTGTGTTTACCAGCGTTGTTGCACACTGTGTTTACCAGTGTTGTTGCACACTGTGTTTACCAGTGTTGTTGCATAGTGTTTACCAGCGTTGTTGCACACTGTGTTTACCAGTGTTGTTGCACATTGTGTTTACCAGTGTTGTTGCACACTGTGTTTACCAGTGTTGTTGCATACTGTGTTTACCAGTGTTGTTGCACACTGTGTTTACCAGTGTTGTTGCACACTGTGTTTACCAGCGTTGTTGCACACTGTGTTTACCAGTGTTGTTGCACACTGTGTTTACCAGTGTTGTTGCACACTGTGTTTACCAGTGTTGTTGCACACTGTGTTTACCAGTGTTGTTGCACACTGTGTTTACCAGTGTTGTTGCACACTGTGTTTACCAGCGTTGTTGCACACTGTGTTTACCAGTGTTGTTGCACATTGTGTTTACCAGTGTTGTTGCACACTGTGTTTACCAGTGTTGTTGCACACTGTGTTTACCAGTGTTGTTGCACATTGTGTTTACCAGTGTTGTTGCACACTGTGTTTACCAGTGTTGTTGCACACTGTGTTTACCAGCGTTGTTGCACACTGTGTTTACCAGCGTTGTTGCACACTGTGTTTACCAGTGTTGTTGCACACTGTGTTTACCA